CCACGCACACATCTGCAGTGAGACTCCTGGGGGCAGAGGTCATTACCTGGCTCTCTTCCACTAAGATTGTTAATTAGCATACCTTCCAACAGTGATTGAATGCAGAGATAGGAGTCATTCTGTTTGCATCCTGTGGACAGGTGTGTGTGCGGGTTCTCTTTTGAAGGTAACTCTCAGAGCAGGACCCTTTCAGCCTAAGATTCACTCTCAGAGTTTGATGGTATTTTGTTTTTCTTATTCAACATGTCCCCCCTTCTGTGCACCACTGCAGGTGAGGGGTGGGGAAGTGCACTTACGACCAGGGTCCCTCGTGGTGAATGCCCATTGGGGGCCCTTCTCTGTGGCCCTTTCCTCCCTTTCAGGGCTGCTATCCCTTTGGCATCTTCTGATAGGGTGGTGGGAAGATTCAGAAGCACAGGACCATGGACCTAGAGACAAATTATTGTCCAACTCTGATTTTAACTCCTGTCTGTTCTGTGGTCCCATTTTCATCTTCAGATTTTTGATGTGCTACTTTGCATTTTCCTCTCAGTAGCAGTATCCTGTATATTTTTGGGGCCAGTTTTGCTTATTTATACAACGGAAACAATGTCCCTCCTCCAGCACTCACCGGGAAGCTTAAGGTAAATGCCCACTACCACTGGGAGGCTGGATTTCTGGTGGGGAGGCTCTCAGTGGTGTAGAGAGTGATCTAGGCATTGGGAAGAGGGAAGGGAAGGAGCCAGGAAGCAGACCATCTGTTCCTCCCCTGGGAGGAGGGGCTGGATTGGAGTGAGGGGAGCTCCGGGTCTCTTCATCCCAGGATTGGGTTCTGGTGGGAGGGGTGGGTGATGCCCTTCTGCCTGCAGACTTTCGCCCAGTTAAGTCAAGCTGAGACTGGTGATTAAGATGCCTAAGACCCACCCAGCCACAGAGTGCCTTGTGTGTCTCTGCAATGAAGACTTGAACACAGTGAGCTCTGGGCTCCAGCTTTTAAAAACTATTGTAGAACCACTTCATTCCTCCTTCCTTCCCTCCCTCCGTCCCTCGCTGCCTCCTACAAACAACTGGGCACTGTGTTGAGGGTTGTGACATACTCAGGAGCATGGCCCTTGCCCTCTTGGAACTTTCCAGCCATTGTGGGTAGCAGACCCTAGAAGAAACAATGACAGTAACAGAGGCAGGGGTACCCAGCAGGGGTATCCCTTCCACAGGTGGGAAGGCTTCCTGGAACAGTGCTCTCTATTGAGATATTGGGTGAGCAGGAGTTACCAAGGCAAAAAGGATGGGGTGGGTTGGCAGGGAGGGGCTGGGCAGCAGCATTGCTAGTCACTGCCAAAACTGGGTCAGCATCTGTGCTGGGTCTGGATATGGGCCGTGGCTCTGCCCAGTGTGGTGGGAAACTGGACCCTCGGCTCTATGCTCCATGTGATCCCATCCTGCTTCCAACGCCCCCCTTCATCTTTTTCATTCTATCTCAACCATTAACACACCAATATGGTACCTGAAAAATGGCTGATGGAACCGTTCTGGGGAAGTGGGCTCTGAGGGAGCGATAGATGTTGCTTGTGGGGCGAACCAACTGTCCACAGTGCATTTGCTTCAAGGGCCACATACTGGATACAACCCTGAGTGGGATGGGGGAGGGGACTTGTGAGAAGGGGGAGAGGTGCTGCTGAGAGAGAAAGAGAGAGAGGGGAGAGAGAGAGATCTGTGGAAGCAGCAGGTGGAATTGTTTGATTCTTGGACTCTATGATGATGCTAATGGAGGGACTCAGAAGAAAAGGGTCCACTTGGGGATGTCCTCTGGCTTGTAAGATCTCTGAAGCCAGGGTTGTGGTATCACAGCCCCCTCAGATTGATGAAGTTGAGCCTGGTAGGTAGCCACTGAAAGCCTGAATATATAGAAATGGCCCTTGGGAGAGCCTGGACACTGTCAATCTGGTGTGGTGTTGGTGTGGTATGTGTTCCCATGGAGAGCTCCTGAGGTCGGGTGGCAGGCACAACCCAGGTAGAAGGCAGAGTCCAGAGGACAGTTACATAGGGCAGAGCTCTGAGAGGGAAACAGGCTACCTTTAATGATTCATATCTTGCTATATACTTACACTTCCCCAAATCCTCACACTGCCCCAGAGATATCCTGCAATATTTTGGCACATACACTTCTAGATTTTAAAAAGTTCTTAAAAAGTAAAGCATCATATACCATACTTGTAATCCTATTGTATCTGCAATTTTTAGTGTAGGTTTTTTTTTTTTTTTAATTTGAATGTTATCTGGGTAATTTTATGATAATACTTTCAACCATCATACCTAACTCAGCTTCTAACCAAAAGGTCAGATGTTCGAACTCACCAGCCGCCCCGTGGGAGAAAGATGAGGCAGTCTGCTTCCATAAAAAGTACAGCCTACAGTTCCACTCTGTCCTATAGGGTCACTCTGAGCCAGAATCAACTCAACAGCAACATGTTTTATTTAGTTTAAAGGTTCATCAACTAAATGTACCTTGGTTTATGTAATCACTTTCTTCCTGTTGAACATTTAGCCTGCTTCCTGTCTTTCAGCTATTAGAAAAAGCAGTCTGTGAAATGTAGAGATTTTACCCAAAGGAATAAAAACCAAAAAGTGAGGGTAGGGGAAATATTTTTAGATGGGGGAGGATTTCTGATCTCTGAAGTCTCTCCCTCAGAAGACCAGTCTTCCCTGGGATTCTGTTTCCTTGGCAGAAACTGGCTTTGCAGTGTCTGGACCCCTGCCCCTCTTTAGCATCTTCCTGCCTCTTACATCTCTGCAAAGGATATAGTTCCTGCTACAATTTGTGCTGAAGTTGGGCAGAGGGGCACTAGCGCCCCCTCCTGGCAGCCCCCACCCATTAGCACTGGAACAGGAGCTGGAGTAGAATCAAAGCTCAGCCACTAAATAGCTCTCAGAAACGAAGCAGTGATGTCCCAAATGCAAGAGAAAAAGGCAGCAGGCCATGACCTGGTTCCTGGAAGATATGACAGATTCTTTACTGCTTTCTAAGATATGAAATTGTGTGTGTGTGTGTGTGTGTGTATGTGTCTGTGTCTGTGTCTGTGTTTAGGGGTCCCTGGGTGGTGCAATTCATGTACTGGGCTGCTAATCAAAAGGTTGTTTGTTCAAGTCCACCCAGAAGCAACTCAGAAGAAAGGCCTGATAATCTGAAATATCAGCCACTGAAAACCCTATGGAGCACATTTCTACTCTGACACATGTGGTTGCCATGCATTAGAACTGACTGGATGGCAATTGTTTTTTTATGTCTATCTATTTATCTATGGCAGTCACATGAGAGTTTCACCATCTTGGAGCTTCTGAGATGAAGGTGGGGTAGAAGACTGTCTTAGGCTTCATGGGCCACCTGGTCTCTGTTTCTATTTTTACCACAAGGATGATCACAGTGTGATTCAGCAGGTCATGTGTACCATATTCCAGGAGGAGAAATTGTCCTCATGTCCACATGGCCATACCACGTAGACTCTAGAGTGTTCCAGAGTATGGAGTTTGCAACCTCTGCCTTGGTGTCTGGAACCTTAATTGACTCCGCTTAATTTGAGGTGGGACTAATGTTGGTGGAGTAAGAGAGAGCATTGTCCTGGGAGTCAGGGACCATAATTCAGCCTATATCTACTCCTAGCTGGCATGTGAGGTGGAAAGAGAGATCTGGCTAGTGGATGTCAGGCTTGGGCCTGTTAACTTTGTTCCTGCATGTATATATTTTGTCTCATGGCTTACATTCATAATTTACCAGTTCCAAGTTACATGCAAAGCACTTCTTCAATTGATCTATGCTGCATATCAGGAGCCACATCAACTGAGACCCAGTTCTTGAGTTAATAGGGCAAGTATGAGTAATAGTGCAGGGATAAGCAATGTCAAGGAAGATTGGGTGACACAAATAGTTTGTGACTGGCTACTAACATAAGGGTTGGTGGTTTGAAGCCACCCAGCAGCATGGTGGAAGAACGACCTGGCAGTCTACTTCCATAAAGTATTATAGCCAAGAAAACTTTATGGGGCAGTTCTACTGTGGAACACGTGGGTCAACAATAACAAGCAATGTTGTGGGTCCTGCTGAAGGGGCTCAGAGAATGCTCATTTCTGATTGGCTGAATGCATAAGTGGGGTGATTGACTTGAATATGATAGGCAGAGGCTCAGGGCATTGCTAACTTCTGATTGGCCCAACACATATATACTGTGATAAGCCTGATTGCCAGTGTCCCACAAATATGAAACTGCAGGTTGAGGAAACCACCTTCTGGTGAAATCAACTGATGAACCCAGAAATGTCCTAAATACACATCTTTCTCAAAAGATGGTGGAAATCCACCAATATTTATCTATAGAGATGACCTCAACCTCACACACAAGAATGCAAATTTGTAGGAGAGTCTGAACACTGGTGAGGATCAAGGGCCTTCATAGCTATTAGCTAGGCCTGGGTGACTCTGTCTCTGGTGGATCAAGGCCTGCTGAGGGTGGCAAGACCTGGGGAGTGAAGACAGAGCCCAGTGTTAAGCTGTATGGTATCCTTTCTCCCATGTCTTACCAGACACCCCAAATTTTGTCAGACAGGTGCTGGGCTCTGCCAGTGCAGCCAGAGCAAGGCAAACGCAGACCACTGGGCTTTCCAACTGTTGAGGAAGAAGCACTAAAGGCCTGAATATTAGGCTTAAGCTGTGGTTCTAAAAGAGCTTTCCAGAACCAGCAGCACCTGCATCACCAGAGAACTTGATACAAACGCACCCTCAGTGGGGGACCTAGGCATTTTAAGAAACTTCCAGGTTGCTGTGGATGTTCCTTCAGATCTGAGAACCCTAGCTGGGGGAAAGAAAAGGAGGTGGCTCTCTAGAGGTCCCATTTTTCCCCAGTGGCTGCCTTTCTGGTCCAGCAGGATGAAAAGTAGGTACGTTAGAGTATAGCCTGAGCACTGATGTGGGGTCTTCTACAAGAAAAGTCCTTCCTTCCCCTTAGTGACACCTGTCCACGATCGTGCAGGCCAGTCCGCACAAGAGGGCTCAAGATTCGCGGGCTCCAGACACCATAGACCGGCTGGAGACCCGCGAGGCCACGTACCTGGCTCACGCGGTCGGGAACCATGGGAATCTCGGTCCAGCGTCTTCGTCAATACCCAAGCTGAGTAGGCTAAAACCCTGTAAGCGTTTTGGCCTTTACTTCTCTTAATGAGGTGGCGGCGGCTGCTTATTGTGTTATTGAAGACGCCCTAAAGCCCAGTTAATGCGATGTGACCACGGATCAGGCCGAATCACGTTTTCCTGCTGATGGAAGATTCCCGGTCGCCGATCGCGGAACTTCGCAGACACCCTGTATGGCCACGAGATGTCGCTGTTGCACTATTCTGCCGGCGCCCGCCTGCCTGCTTTCCAGGTTCCCACAGAAGTCTTCGACGTGAAATAACATGCCATTGTGAGTAGAGGCCTATTTCATAAAGATGTCCAGGAAATGATGCGCAGCCAGGAGGTTTCCACTAGAGGGAACACTGGCTGTGGAACTGGAGCTGAAAGGCCCTTTAGGGCTTTACACGTCTATCACAAACCCAACCCTAAGCCCCTTGTGGTGGCAGAGTTCCGGTCTCAGGCCCTAGTATCAGTGGGGAGGCAGCACGCTCATGAAAGTAGCCACAGGCTATTTTCTTCCCAAGGGAAGCTTCTAATTTGATTGCATGCTTGTTCTTTTGTTTACTTGTGCACTGTCCAGCCATGAAGGGATGTAAAAGGGAAAACACAGGTTTGCACAAGAACAGCAGAAGGCCTTGAGAAAGAGAGGACAGTGGTCAGTGTGAGAGAGACAAGACTGGGCTTGCTCATGAATGTGGTGGGGCGGGGGCCACAGGCACAGGCTAGACAGGGCTCAGGGTGCACTCAGAGGTCAGGGCACGTAACAGGGCCAGTATGCTAGGCTGCAGAGGGAGGGGTGGATTCCAGTGACCTGCAGGAAGTGGATGTCTCCTTGGAGAATGAGGACACAGTAGTAATAAATCCAACAGCAGAATTTGGATGACACACTCCTCACTGTGGGTTTGGTGCTGTTCTAAAAGAATCAATTGACCTAATCCTCACAGCACCTATGAAGGAGGGACTGTTTGTCCCCAGTTTACAAGTGAGGAAATGGAAGCCCAGGGAGGCAGAGTCAGGTCACGCAGCTGGGAGGGGCAGAGGCAGGGTTCAAACCCAAAGGTCTGATTCCAGAGTCTCTTGGCCCTTAAGCTAAACCACTCATGGCAACTCCATGTGTGTCAGAGTAGATCTGTGCTCCACAGGGTTTTCAATGACTGATTTTTCAGAAGTAGATCACCAGGCCTTTCTTCTAGGTGCCTCTGGGTGGACTTGAACCTCCAATCTTGTGGTTAGCAGTGGAGTGAGTTAACTCTTTCCATCTCCCAGAGCCTCCTGTGTGGTGGAGTTAGGTGTGTGAAATCACAATACCAGAGTGGCTTCTTAGAGCCATCCTGGGAGCTGTGGTGTTTCGATTCAGGATGCTACCCCTGCTTGGGCCCTTCTTGGGATTCACCTCTCCTACTGGCATCAGGGCCCAGTGTTTTGGAGTCACAGTATTCAGCTGGAGGCCCCACCTCCTGTCCCAGAGCAGCTCCACATACCTGTGGCCGCCTGAAGGTAATCACATCTGCTCCCAAAGGCAGGGCGTTGAGTGCACTGAGGAGATTCCAAAGGAAGTGCTCAGACCCAGAGGCTGTTCAGAGGCATCAGTGAGGACTGCATCTTTGGAATTAGGCTTTTTCTCCAGGAGAGAGACTGTATCACAGCTGCTAGCTGGTAAGACCTGTGAGGACAAAGGAGAAACCCCTACTCCTGGTAGGCTCCAGCCAGCAGCCAGGTGTGTGGGTCAGAACCAGAGAGGAGACAAGTGTGGAGGTAGCAGTAGGTGCCAGGGCAATAAGCAGCTGTGTGAATGGTTCCGCCAGCTGTGCACAGACCCTGGGTTGGTGTCAGGTCTCAGTGAGTGGCACTCCTCTTACCTCATGGCTCAAGACCTGATACCTGCAGTTACCCTTGTTCCCCTCCCCACCATTGCTTCACGCTCCGTGACTAACTCAGTAACAGACTTGACAGGGCCACTCTGGAATGCCTCACTACTCACACTCCCTCAGCTCTTTGTTTAAGCTTTCCTGACACATAATCTAATTTAGGTTCCCAATTTATATTCTTTTATCTGTTTGAACTTCACCCTTATAGTTTTCAACACTTTTTGATGATTAACTGATTTGTGTGACTTCTGCTTTGTTTCCTGTCTCCTCCTCCTCCTGTTGGTAAGCTCCAAGACAGTTGGTTTTGCTCACTTTTGTGCTGGCTCTAAGGAAATTTCTGGAACATAGCAGTTATTTGAGAAAATTAGAATGTGTCCTATGATGGGCCCCATGCTGCTACTGGCAGTTATTCAGAGATCAGCTTTATTTTTTTAAAAAAAGCTCTCAACTTTTAATTTGGAATTAATTTTAAATTTACAAAAGTTGCAAAAGTAAAAATAACACTAGAAACATCATATTTTACCCACTTCTGCTATACATGTGTATGTGTATAATATTTTTCCTGAACTATTGAGGGTAAGTTATATATATCATGGTGCTTTCTCCCTAAATACTTAAGTATTTCCTAAAAGTAGAGATTGTCTCTTACATGATCATGGTCATGGTCAACTCCATACATCTATATTGATGCAATACTTTCACCTAGTCTCCTGTCTATTTTCCAATTTTGTATTTGATCTAATAATGTCCTTTGCAGCCTTCCCACTCCCTTACAGGATCCAGTCTAGGGGAAGGTATTGCATTTAGTTGTCATGTCTCTTCAGATTTCTGTGGTAGTTAAGGTTATGTAGCAACTTGGGTGGGCCTGGTTTTGAGTAGCTGGGCAGCTGGATGTAGTTGTTCCCATGATAAGACTGGTAGTCAACTCCATGATGGAATCTGCTGTGAGGAGCTGAGTAGCTGCCTTAGGGATGTGTTCTGCTTCTAGTATATAAGAAGACCCTTTGAGGAAGGTGTTGAGCTTGGACTCAACGTGTGACATGCTTGGACTCTGTGTATAGCCAAGCCTTCATTCAGCAGCCTGCCATGCTGCCTGCTGATCTTGGGACTGTTTCTGGACTTGAACTAGTAGCCTGCCATGTTGTGTGATAGCTTGGGACTGTGCCATTGTACTTCTCCACCTTGGGTTTGTTAGCCTCAGCAGCCAGCATCTGGCTGAGTAAAGAGAAACCTCCAGCTCCAATGGCCTGGGAGTAAGAGGCAGAGCTGTAGCCCAAGTTTAAGGTGTCTTCACCCAGCCCTTAGAGCTGGCACTTTGCACTTGGACTTCTAGCTTCCTAAACTATAAGAGAATAAAGCCCCATTTGTTAAAGCAATCACCTGTGGTATATATCTGTTAGAGAAGAATTAAGAGAACCAAAACAGAATCCTTTAGTTTGGAACATTCCCACAGCATTTCTTTGTCTTTTATGACGTGGACATTTTTGAAGAACACTGTGCCTCCACTGTTTTTGTCCTTTCTTTTTAACAGAACTTTCTTTATTTTGCATTTAGTGTTACCCCATGGTTATGCTGGGACACAAGGCTGTTGATAATGTCCTTCTCAGTGTGTCACATCTAGAGGCAGATTTTAAAGTCAGAACCACCTCTAAATGCTTTCTCATAGCTGAATTTATTTCCCTCTGCTACCACAGGATCTGGGCAAATACCGCAACTCTAAGAGGTGCTTCTCTTTCAATATGGGCTCTGAAAAAATTTCCTTCTTCTCAGCTGTGGTTGAAAGACCTTAATAAGCCTCCTGGCTTCAGGCAGGAAAGCCCGGCTTCAGGCATGAGTGATTGCTGGCAGTTCCCATGCTTCCCAAATGCCATTTCACTCTGTACTTGCTGCCAGGCCACACTATAAAATCCACCCCCAGCAGCAGATCAGGTTGGGAACAATCCACCTCTTACGTCCTTGGGGGTTTTGCTGCATAGTTTCTAAAACCTTCCAATGTGTATGAGCCATGCAGGGGTTTGGAGGCAATATGTCGACGGCTCCCTCACCCTTTGGAAGTTGCCTCTTTGGACTGGTGTCCTGCTAAAATGTAATGTCCCAAGAAGAGGTGACACCAGAAGCTACTACTGGCCATTGACTACTGGAGATGACTCAATAACCAAGTGTCACTGGGAAAGTGTTGTGGAGAACTGGCTGGAAGGGGCTGCATGGAGAGCTGGGATTGGTACTAAAAATGACATCCTTGTTTGTAGGCAACGTTTTTGACATGGTTTTTGTGGATGCCAGGAAAGAAAAACAACACATCTTTTTGGATGTTTTAAAGCATCCATTACAGGAGTTCCTGAGAGGTGCACATAGTTATGCATGTGGCTGCCAACTGAAAGGTTGGAGGTTTGAGCCTGCCCAGATGTGCCTCAGAAGAAAGCCTGGCAATCTAGTTCTCCCAAAATTAGCCACTGAAAATCTTACGGAGCACCATTTACTCTGACACACATGGAGTCACCATGGGTTGGAATTGCCTCGATGGGAAATGGGTTTTTAAATTTTTTTTTTTTAAATTATATTTAAAGTGTCCATTGGAAGGGCAGCCTGGGGATATGGAATGAGATCCAATGTTTGAGTGTTGGGTTCAAAGCTTGCCTCTACTTTGCATCGATGCAAGACCTCAGCCCTCTTTTCAGAGGCTGACTGGGGAGGTTGGGGCTACTAGAGGAGATGGGGGAAAGTTGGTAGTGATGAGGAGAGGATCTATGTGACAAACCTCACATTGTGTCCAAACACTGTTCGTGCAGCCTTTATTCCCTTCATCTCCTGCATGCCTTCCCCCCTCCTCCAGCAGTTGTTGTTGTTGTTGTTGTTGTTTGCCGTCGAGTCGGCCCCGACTCATAGCGACCCCTCCTTGGGTTTCCGAGGCAGTATCACTACGGAAGTAGGATTGCCCAACCTTCCTTCCGAGGAGTGGCTGGTGGGTTTGAACCGCCAGCCGTCTGGTTAGCAGGCAAGTGTCTTAGCCACTATGCTACCAGAGCTCCCACCTGTAGAAGGTGAAGGGATGGAATATGTCACCATGACCAAGGTTCATGTGGGTGGGAAAATCTAAGGATGCCACTGCTTTGCTCTTTTGATAAGCTCCGCAGGTTTGGCAACTTCCATCCCCTGTGAGGATGGGGGATCCCGCCCAACAAGGCTGTACTCTGTTCCTGGTAGGCCGACGCATGCATTGACTGTGTTAGAGAAACCATGCATCACTGCTATAGTCTACATTTCTGGTGAGACTGTAGAAAGGCTGGACTTCTCATTTGGATATTTCCAGTCTTACACAAAACTTGGCAGCCAAAGCATGCTGGTGGATGCCTTGTAAACAGCCTCTCTTCAATCCATTTCTTGCTCAACAGGTCAGTCAGCACAGTCACAG